AAAAAATAGATTAAAGAGGATAATCAAGATTGATAAGGAATTCAAACCTCCACTTAGCCACACTGTTAAGGGACGAGATAACGGATGAGCTGAATCAGCTTCAACGAAATAATAGAAAAGAGCTCGGCCATGAGCCGCATCTGTTACAATATAACCAGAGTACTGTTTGAAAGAAACATGGGTAGGTTGGCCTGGGAGAATTGTAACAAGCTCACCAAAAGATTTAGTCAAGAAGAAGAAATAAATGATAGAGATAACTATCGACAAGATTCGCAAAGCCATCCTGATCGATTTGTGTATGTGGAAAATAGAGATGAGTTTAGAATATATATATATATATACAGAGAGAGAGAGAAAGAGAGAGATAAGAACAATGATGGTTAGTGATCAGACACGGTGCCAGTGTGGCCGGCCATTTGTTCTTTTCGCTTAGAACAATGATGCAAGGAGCCAAGATAAGTATCGAATGCCACCGCCCTTCAATGAATCTCAATTTGAAGATTGATTGGACAAACAAGTTAGAAATTATTCTTATTCAAAATCTGTGTTCTATAATATGCCAAATGTCAATTAGTGTAAGCCATCGCTCTATTAGGTGAGTGGCGGTGAGACCCCTCTAATTTCTGAACATTTGCTAATTGCTATGTGCTTGCGACCTTGTGTGCTCTCAGCTAATTCCCCACACGCCACGCCCAAATCAACCCTAAAGAAACCACTTTTGCTATAGTAACGTAACCTTGGGCTAAAACTGAAAATCATGGCCTTTGAGTTATTGGTATGGCCCTATCAAGACCGTCACTTCATGTCATTCAAGGTGGGACACTATTAATACATCAAATTAAAGTGGCTGTGAGATGATTATAATACTACTGCTGAACTCTGATTTGCTCCACATAAAATGTGATTCACACCAATCTCACATCTTTCGTACTAATAATATAATATGTATTTACACTTTTTTATTAAATGTTTGTACTTTATTTACTTATAAAATCGAGAAAGATAATAACCGTTTATGATAATTAAGTGTTATTGATATATCAACTTAAGAGTGAAAAAAATATTTAATCGATTGTAGAAGCTTTATTTTATCATTTTCAATACGCACAAAAGGAGGGAAACTGCTGAATTGGAGTGGCGTGTGGTGCATGGTTGCCATATATTGTTTCCCGTGAGGTGCCCTCTATAAGGAACAAATCGATACGATTTCAATGTGTCCAGTCCAATTAAGCCTCCTTCAAAACATTATTAATTAATGAACATCATTAGCATTGTATTTAATTACGACTTGAAACCTTTTCTTTTCTTATTTTTATATACCAAGTTTGAAAGATATTGCATGTTTATAAAGATCTCCCCTCAAATTTCTGACAATCATAAAAACCTTCCCTCTATTTTTGAAAAATTCAATAAATACCTCCCTTCTGTCAATAATTAACACAAAAAATGTTAAAGCGATGATCAATTTTTCCAAAATACCTATTTTACCCTTTTTATGAATTAATATGCTCTATTTGTACTAAAATACCCCTATGTCAGCAATTCCATAGTCCGCTCGAACTGTTCATGTTCTTCCTCATGAAGCACAGTGGCGGAATGGCGTGCATTCCCCCCTCCAACCTTCCCTCTTCTTTAATTTCCTCTCTCTCTCTCTCTTAATTAATCTTTTCCCTTTCTCCTCATCTCCCATTCTTTGACTTTCTTCTGTCACTGCAAACACCCCCTTGGTTACCAATTTCATCTATTTGAACGACAGTAGTGGCTGAGCTACTGTAACCACCCCATACCACTACTGCAACTATGGTCCCCATTTTTCTCAATCATTCTCTCTCTCTCTCTTCCTTTTTTTCATCTTCTCCTCTCTAACATTTTTTTTTCTTTTATTTTATTCCCATACCTCTCCACCATGCTTCCTCCGGTAATGAACGAGAAATTAGAGTATAGTTCCCATTGCTGAACGAAATTCCTAGTATCATCGTTGGACGGGTACTGGGAATCGGTAGTCATCGACATCAGATGTGTTAGTGGACTAGACAATTAAGCTGTAAGCACCATTTTCCCATCCCTATGCAGTGAAACTTTGGATCGATGACCATTGACGGGTCTGTCTCGGTTGGCCATCCATACAACTGTCTTGTCCATTAAGTTGGTATACCAAATTGAGAAGTTGTATGGTTTGTGCCCATCGGGTAGAATCCACAGATGAACCATTTTTAGGGGAGATAAGAACGTTTGAAGCAAAATCTTGGACTGATAGAGAGGAACATCTGTTCAAATAACTCCTTGGGGTTGAAAATGCAAAAGAAGAGTAAAAGAAGAAGACACTGAACATAAGAGAAAAAGGGAATTGGGTGTCCCATGTTGGAGAAAAGATAAATTGATGTTAGAATTCGTTTGAAATATTTTCGGAAAATTTGGGGTTCCGCCCTGATTTCTGGTTTTTGTGGACAAACATCGAGTTAATGCTTTTACCAAGGAGGACACTCAAATTTTCAACGATAATAACGTAAAAGCCATGAATGAAAAGAACATAAAGAATAGTCATCGCCGCTAGAGGCTCATCTCTTTTTCTCTTCAAGGTTCGTTGAATTCATTTTCATTGGAAGCAATCAGTGTTCGGCGGAACCTGTAGTTTGGTAGGAAAGTTAATCAATCAGACTTCACCGAAATTGGCTATTACCGTCAATTTTTTAAAGCCACATGTGTAGAAGTTCTGGAGGTAGTTCCGACAGTTCGTGACAGAAAACTCTTACAATTGCACATCTTCGCAAGTTTTGGAGGCAGTTCCGATAATTCGTGGCAGAAAACTCTTACAATTGCACATCTTCACAAGTTCTAGCTAACAGAAATTGTTTAGAGTCGGTGAAGGCCAAGTTGGAGGATGGCGTCCTTACAATCTCCTTGGCCAAGCTGTCCCTGGACCAGATAAAGGGCCTAGAGTGGCCGGAATCGAAGGTGGTGAGGGGGAGCAAGCAAAGCTGAGTGAGGCTAGCACAAGTCGTACCAAAATACAAGAAATATATAAACTAATTTAAAAAAGGGTAAAATGGGTATTTAAAAACACTTAACGCATGGATTTAACGTTTTCTGTTTGAATCAGTGAGGGAATGGAGATTTTTGTTGAATTTTTTAAAAATTTAAGGAAGCTTTTGTTAAAGAGGTTTTTATGATTATCAGAAACTTGAGAGAAGGTTTTTGTATTTTACCCTTTCTTTTTTTTTTTTAAATAAACCTTATTGCAATTATTAACTTTAGGATTCCGGGGAATAGGGCATTTCTTGAATTGTCAAAATTGAGGATTCTTTAATCATCTTGATGATCTTGAATCAGGTGATGTGGAATATCGAAATTTGAAAATTTTGACACCTTTTTTGAAATACCATACAATTATGATTATAAATATATTATAATAACAAGTTAAAATACTTTAAACTATCAATCAGCCTGCCTCTCCAACAAATATGACTTTTTTTTATTGTGTATTTTTCAAAAATTGGATGGAACAAAACACTAGTGAATCAGAACGATTGTAAAAACACTTTGGCGCGGAAACACTTTCTTAAAGAGTGAAAACAAACTCGTTGCTTAGTGGTAAAGAAGAAATTTATCCACTTTTCACCATTGACAAGGTCAGAGATTTTTGTATCATTTATTTACCTAAATGTGGATGAACCAACCTTTCATCCTCTATAATATAATTTCCGCATCTTGTGTTTGCCTAAGCATGTGAACAAGAAATATTTTATAAATTTCTAATAATTGATCATGTTTTATTTTGCATAAAAGCATTCTATTTTTGTTTGATCCCTTCATGAAGGATCTTCAATCTTGTATTATTTTCATGCCCAAGCCAATTAGAGAATGCCCTGCAAGATAATCAACTACATCAAACAGCTAGGGGGCTGATGAGGGCGGATTTGGCCCTCCAATGACATTGTGACACATGGCATCTCGAAACAGATGGACGACACTCAGACACCACTTAGGCGATGATTTGGAGTTTCAGATCGTAGTTTGTCGTCGCCCCGAGCTGGCAACCTGCCTTTACTGCCAACCTAGCAACTTCAACCACAACTTAGGCCGGCTAGGAGCACCTCGTTACTAGCCAATGTGACATCGACATGAGGAGCGACCTCTCTCGAGGGCTTGCCGACCTAACTGAAGTCCAGGAGGCGACCTGCGAGTTGTGCTCGCTGACAAATTTGCTATGCATATCCCGACACTCCCAAGTTTCTCGGAAGTTGGCCCATGTACCGAGTGTTCCGGAGAATGGCCAACGTGCATGGTGGTTACCTATGGGGATCTCGGACCGATTAGGCGACCTACCGGAAATCTCGGATGCGGTGCATGAAGCCCACGCCAAAAAAAAATTATATAAAGGCACAAACCCAAATGACACGAAAAGGTAGTGCGATTTAGTGCATTCTAGCTCTCCTTGTTCTTAAACTCTCAGCTCACATATACTATTACTGACTTAAGCATCGGAGCGAACTCACCGGGTTAGTCACTCCAGGTTCTCTAATACCTCCATTTCTTTGCACTTCAAGCGGCCTACTTGGCAACAGGCATCTGAGCTGCCCTATATCTAGGAGCATCCAAATCACACACCATCAGGGGCATTCTACAACATAAATTATTTTTCTTGTTGTGTATGTGTGTATGTGTGTATGTGTGTATGTGCGTTTCAAAATTGAAACTAACCATGTTGAACACCCCCTAAATTTAGTTTCAAAAGTATGTTTTCATTTGATTATTCATCATGTTCCATAAATCATATAATTTCTATACTAGAAAATTTGTTTTTGTTTTAAAAACCAATATTTTATTGGCTCCAAAAACATATGTATTGTTTTTGAAACAAAACCAATGTGTTTTTCCCTAAGAAAACAAAACAAAATTCAAAACATGTTTTTGTTTCTTGCTGATGTGGCGAATTCTACAACATTAATTGTTTTTCTTGTTGCCAGTTCTAAAAACAAATCAAAACATCTTGTTTGAAAAAAAGATTGTTTCTTAAAACAAAAACACAAAAAGAAAAGTTCTTGAGGTTTTCAAAACTGAAATAAAAATATGTTCTTAAATTTGGTTTTAAAAACATATTTTCATCTGATTCTTTAACATCATATTCCATAAATCATATAATTATTATGTTAGAAAATTTGTTTTTATTTTAAAAAAAAATATTATTTTTTTGGTTCCAAAATCATGTATCATTTTTTTAAACAAAACCAACTTTTTTTTCCTTAACAAATGAAAACAAGTAGAACGCCCCTAATGGAAGGCCATTCATTAGATGTATTGTTGTGGGTCTATCTTGAATTAGATAGATGCATGGAAGGTCATTCATTAGATCACCCCAATCGAGTTAACAGGGCACAATCCGAAAGTTTGTATATGGTTAATCCATGACCTGATGACTGGATCAAATGGATCTGGGTTGAATGGATTTTGATCAAGTCAATTCGTAGCAATGAAATTGGCTTGACAACTTTAATTTCAGGCTAGTTCAATTCGTAGCAATGAAATTCATTGAATTGGGAGAGGAATTACATTTTGAGCGTTTTCTTCTGTTTAGAGAACATTTTTTTTTTCATATTTTCAATAGGTATAATGCGTCCTATTGGTAAGGGTGTCAATGGACCGGTTTTGGATTGGACGGACCAATTGGACCAATCCAATCCAAAATATTTATTAGATTGGCTTGGACCTGGTCCGTACATAATAAATTTAAGTGTCATTGAACGGGGTTTGGATTGAAACCAATCTAAATAAAAACAAATTTGAACAGATTGAATAAATGAACTCACATTGACACCCCGACCTGACGCAGCGTGGAAGCAATGAAAACCGGGCTGGCTATGCAAGCACCGGGCGAACACCAGCTTCTAGCGAAGCTAAACGTAAATCTCTATAGGAGAGAGATTAGGTAGACTAGCTCCTAAAACAAAATCAATATGATGTTGTATGTATCTCATGGGTGGGAGTTCATTTGGTAATTTATTTGCACTACATCATGGAACTCATCAAATAGTCCCTGCACTTCCACTGGAATTTTATTCCCATCCAGGGTCTCATTCATATCTTCTCCCTTAACTACCAACAAATGTACCTCGTGGGTATCCTTACATTCTTTTACAAATTTAGCATGATGATGTGTAATAGTAAGGAAATTTTTCTCATTTGTTTTTGGGGCCTTTGGAACATTCTTTTCAGACATGGGTAACAAAGTGTAACGTATACCCTCTTTTTCAAGTTGGTAGGTATTTTCCATACCCATGTGTCTTGCATCTGTATCAAATTGCCAAAGCCTACCTAACAAAATATGGCAAGCATCCATGTCTATAATATCACAATATACTTCATCATTATACTTACCAATAGAAAATTGTACCTTACAGCGTTTCTCCAATCGTACGCCGCCTCCTTCCTTGATCCACCCAATTGTGTATGGGTTTGGATGTTTTTCAGGAAGTAGTTGTAATTTTTGTATTACATCCCTACAAATGATATTTTCTTGACTGTCACTATCAATAATTAAATCAAATAATTTACCCTTGACAGTACATCTAGTACGGAACAATTTGTGCCTTTGTGAGGTGTCTTTATTTCTTTGGGACAACATTAATTTTCTCACAACACATGTATATTCTTCATGTTCGTATGGACCTTCTTCATCTTCCCCCATCAGGTCTACAATATATTTCTTCAATATCTTCTTCCTCCTCCCACTCTATCATATTAACTGCCTTCCTTCTAGGACAGTCACTGGATCTATGCCCAACCTCATTACATTTAAAGCATTTAAAAGGAACAGATTTTGCATAGGGATTACTAGGTTTAGGAGGGTTGGAAGGGTTACCTCGAGTATTTCCTCCCGTGATGGCCTTACCGGCGTTAGTTGTACTTGCCGGGTGAGAAGGCTGTACTACCGGGGCTGATTTGTTCATGTCGACAGTTGCCGGTCTGTTGTCGCTCCCGCTGTACCAGCGATAATTATCACTACGGGCCTTTTCTTGGAACATTAATTCAGCTTTCAAGGCTAGGTTCCTTGCTTCCTGCACACTAAGAACCATTTGGACGCCAATTTTATCTCTGATAGCCAGCCTTAAACCGCTCAGATAACGGGTTGCCTGCTGGTTATCACTTTCAGATATATGATTTCTTTCAGCTAATCTTAAAAATTCAGATGTATATTCATTAACACTTCGGGAACCCTCCGCACATTGTTGCTATGATTCAAACATATATTGTTCATAATCTGGGGGTAAAAATCTACCTCTGATTAACTGCTTCATGCGCCTTCATGCGTTCCCACCAAACAGATGCGCCTCCTTTCAGTCGGAAGGCTACCAGTTTAACTCTCCATTCTTCTGGGATTTCCATGTACTCGAAGAAACGGTCGACCTCTGTGATCCAATCTAGCAGACCCTCTATCCCCAGATCTCCACTAAAAGTAGGAATGTCTACCTTGAGCTTAAATTCATCATTATCTTGCCGGGAATAACTGGAGCAACATCGAACTCTAACTCGTTGTCACTTTCATCATCGAAAACTGGATGCCGGGATGCAGTGTTGATGGGTGGTCTGTCGTGCTCGTCTCCTTCGACTGGATGTGGATTTTCCCGATTCTGTGGAACAACCTCCCGTAACAAGGTCCGCAGTTGTTCAGCCATCTCTGCCAACTACTGTTCGATGTTACGTGTGGTCGTGCGCTGCTCTTCGATTGCTCTCAAACAGCTTCTAACCCCTGATCTCCGTCACGGGGTGGGTTGCGACTACTACCGTCTTGGTTGGCCATCTGACTGGGCGAACTCCCTACTCTGATACCACCTGACGCAGCGTGGAAACAATGAAAACTGGGCTGGCTATGCAAGCACCGGGTGAACACCAGCTTCTAGCGAAGCTAAACTTAAATCTCTAGAGGAGAGAGAAAAGGTGGCAAAAACTGAAGTTGTCTATTCGCTTGGAAAATAACAATATTTATAATACATCTGGAAATTGTAGAATAACTAGGAAAGAAAAATAGTGATAGATCTCAAACATCTAATCTTCTAGCTAGGTTCGAACTCTTCTTTGATCTTGTCTTGATCTCCACCGTCCGATCTCCCTGATTGTATGAGTTATCCTGTCTTCTTGGAATTACCTTGGATCTTAAACTTCCTTGAATCTTGGATCTTGATGTATCTTGAATTCTTGAATTATCTTATTTTCTTGAATTCTTGATTTATCTTGAATTCTTGAATTATCTTGGATTCTTGAATTCTTGATTTATCTTGAATTCTTGAATTATCTTGGATTCTATGAACTGCCGCCCATATGGTGAGATGGGCCTCCATCACTACCTATTGGGTGTCCAATAGGTAACAATCAAATCTAAGTTGGATTAGATGTTTGTATCTATTATTTAATCACCATAAGAGGATAGTGAATAGTACAAGTGCAAATGGGATAGTGGATTTAAAAATTAAAACCTAGGGTTTTCAAATTTAATAAATACACAACCCAAGGTTGCCCAGGTTGCAACTTGCAACCCTGTCACCCGTGAACGAGATGATCAAATCGGCATTACAAGTAGAGCTGAAGACATATTTGCTCATTGGACTTTTATTTTTGAATACCAGAAGAGTTTTACATATGGGATGGGACTATCTGTCATGTACTTGGTGAAGAAGACAAAGACGCAAGTCTGAAGTAGTAATCCAACTGAGCAATATTGGACTCAAAGCCCCACTCCACTTTAGCTAACTTTGGGCGCGGGCAGAAGAGATCCACTTAGAAAAACTCGGAACAGTGTTAGAGTTTGTGATGGCGATGTGTATGGGACTTCATGCGATCCACCTCTAACTGTTGCAAATGTAAGATATGTTACGTTCTTTCCTTCTCTTTGCTTGCCAAACGACTGAGCCCATCCACCCACCTGCAACACAGGTTTTCTTTTATTTTTTTATTTATTTAAACAGAGAGTCAGCTCTATTTCCACTCCCTCTCTCTCTTTCTCTCCTCTGTTTCTGAGAAGAAAGATTTAATTTTGAGGAAAGGTGCTCTGTGCACTCAATGCCTCAATGGGAATGAGGAAATCAACCTTCCCTACCTTTGCCCCAAACTATCCCTATTCTTTGAGAAGATAGATGGTTTGTGTATATAAGGTGCTTTCTGGGGTCAGAAGTTGGTTTTAAATCACAGAATGTTGAACGGATCGTATACATATACCTGCTTATTATCATACCAAGGCCCGTAACTTGTCAAGGGAACAAGCTTCAAGCTTTTAGCCATGGCATTAGCAATTATCCTCGTCTGAGTAAGTGGGATTTTCGTATCCTGGTCACCACTGTAGAACATGATCGGAATATCACTCTTGAGAAGATCTGAGATGATTGGTATCATGTTTGTGGCCAAACTTTCCATTTGGTATTGAAGGGGCCTGCAAAATGCAAACTTCCGATTACATATTCATTGATTTATTGATTGATTGATGGATCAATCGATTGAGAGAGAGACCCTGCACAGAAGCTCCAGTTGGTTGGGACGGCATGAAGTGCTTTTTGAACCACAGGCTTGTTGAGGTAAGCAAGAATCCTATCAGGCAGGCATGGATCACCAGCACCTCGCAGAAGCTATATATCCAACACAAAAAGAGACGAGCACCATATAAGAAACGCTTACAGTACGTACCAACTTATATAAATTTTCAAAGCAAAACATATATACCACTGCCCCTATGTTTGAGTGCATTATTGCTTTTGCTGCTCTAAATTGCTCAGCCTCGGTCGATGGTAAGCACTGGAGCGAGAGCAGGTCATTGCGATCGAGTTCATCACCAACCTCCTTATTGATTCTATCAAACACATCACTGCATTCCTTGGACAGATTATTATGGACAAACTCCTTGAAGTATCTTGATATTTTACAAACTGTCTTCTCCAGCATCAATGTCTCATCTGAAATTGCTCCATGCGACCACAAGTTCTCGGCAAACGCTATGCTAATGTCTAAGTCAAGTAGTGGATTCCCAAGCTACAACCAGACGAGCAATCAAATTATGACTTAAATCAGAGAGAAAATATTTATGAACAGAATGACTGAACAATAAGATGTAATTAATAAGTAGTTCACGGGTTTACAGCAACGCCCTTCAGCTTGATGGGTCTGATGTTGGGCTTCTTGTTGTACTCCAGCAATAGCGAAGCAAGCTGTGGAATGAAGTGGCCTACACTCAAAATACAGTATTTGTTCAGTTCAGAGACTCACCAACACACAAAAGAACAATCAAAGACATGAATTGTTTGAACCCGGCCAATGGCGATAGACAACTAGATTAATTGCCTTCTAGCTAGGAACATGTTAAGAAGCTTCATTTTGAGAATTTCTTGTTACCTGCATAACTTTCTCCCGCTAGATAGAGGTCTGAATTTTTGTATTTTGGGAATTTTTCCAACCAGTTAAGAAGGAACTTCAAATTATCCTCAGCTATGAAGAGCCAAAAGTATTAAAAGATTAGAACTAATAAAAATCAACCTACAAGGTGATTAGATCAGTTTAATTTTCTTTTAAAACGTTGGACTGCAGAGATTTAGAAAAACGCTTACCAGTTGTAGTGTCGTTATAAGAAGTGTAGTCCGAGCTTGTGTTTGAGTATGAAAAACCAACTCCAATGGGACTGTCCACATACAACATGTTGGATTCTGTCCACAAGTTTGACAAGGTTCAGTGACTTCATTCAATTCCTCCTTGAATGAAAAGATTTCAAATTTGAAATAATAACCTACCCAAGTTCCAAGAATACTTGTTCTTAGCCAAGAGTCGATTGTCTTTAGGCTGGAATGGACCATGTTCCATGAGTACGCCAAAACCAACTGAAGAGCAACCAGGACCTAACAATTTGGTTTAAACGCACACCGATAAGAAGACATGAAGAAAAAACATCTCAACATGGATGATGAAAATAGAAAGATAACGAAGATTAATGATACTGAATTCGATCGACCTCCATTGAGCCACAATGTTAGGGGACGGGACAATGGATGAGCTGAATCAGCTTCAACTAAATAATAGAAAAGAGCTCGGCCATGAGCAGCATCTGTTACGATATAACCAGAGTACTGTTTGAAAGAAACATGGGTGGGTTGGCCTGGGAGAGTTGTGACAGGAGGCTTAGCAAAGGATTTAGCCAAGAATGAGAAATAAATGAAAGAGATAACTATCGACAAGATTCGCGAAGCCATTATCAGTGAATGTGAAAGAAATAGATGGCTCTAATCACAGATATATAGAGTCTGGAGTCTGGACCACGGAGAGAGAGAGAGAGGTTCTGATCGAAAGATAAGCAACTGGTTTGTGAGTCGGTGCCGCAGTGCCAGTACGGCCATGCAATTGTTTTTTTGGATTAGAAAAATGATGCATTCAGTCAGGACTGAATGAAGGCGGACCCAAAGGAAAAGAAAAAAAATAAGAAACGGCTTCGTGGGGAAGGTACTGGTATTTGTTGCATCTATAGTCATTCCACTATACGAAAGTTTTCGTTGGTATTAGAAAATCCGATTTCGAATTCGATATTCTATATAATCCAATTGAATTCGGATAATTTGAATATTTAATCGATCGAATTTCGATATCTTATTTTTAACAAATAGTTAATCGGATTCGAATACAGATATGACCTGATTTGATTCGATAAATATTCGAATTCGATCAATTATTTAATTCTTATATATAATATATAAAATATTTTATATAATTTATATATGATAATTAAATTGTATAAATAATTTATATATTTATATATTTTATATCGACAAAATATTTATTTTATATATTTATTAATTATTTAAAATAATTAATTAATCGAATACGGATATCGAATATCGGATGTTCTAGTCGGATTCAAATTCGGATATTGCTTGATCCGATTCGAATTTGATCCGTTTACACCCCTTGTTCCAACACGAGTAAGGGTGTCAATGGACCGGTTTTGTACTGGACCCCATCCAGTCCAAAGTCAATTTGGACAGATTGGATGGACTAATAAGATATATTGGATTGGATTAATCCGGTCCAAAATATTTATTAGATTGGATTGGAACTGATCCATCCATAATAAATTTATATTGGATTGTGTTGGATTTAGCCAATATCTGGTCCATTGATATAAGATAAGAATATAGGTGTTAATGAATCGAATTTGGGTTGAAACCAATCTAAATTAAAATGAATTTGAACAAATTGGACAGTCAGACATTAAATTGGACCTGTCCAAAATAGTCTAAAATATTCATTGGATTGGATTGGACCTGATCCATTTATAATGGACTCACATTGGACTGGATTGGATTGGACCTGATCCATTTATAATGGACTCACATTGGACTGGATTGGATTGGACCAAATCCAATCCAATTGACACCCTATATGAGTAGTTGTGTTAGGAATAGATCCTAGCTCTTCTTTGTTGTTTCTTGCACATATACATGATTTTGGTGGTGTTCTACAATGTGAGTTGTTTTTCTTGTTGCGGGTTCCAAAATCAATTCAAAAGCATTTGGTTTGAAAACAAAATAATGTTATTAAAATAATAATCAGAATGCATAATGGAACTTGATGACGGCGGATTTGGCCCTCTAGTGAAATTGTGACACCTGGCACCTCATGCCAACTAAGTGCAGCCTCTTGACAACTAGACAACTCGAGCTAGCTACAGGCAGCTCGGCATAGGCAGCTCGCCACAGGTAGCTCGCCACTTACAGGTAGCTCGCCACTTATAGGCAGCTCGCTTCCTATTAGGCCATGAAGACCTGCCTCGGGTAGAAGCACCTCGGCACATTACCGGCAGCTCGGTGAAAAGTAGCTCGGCGCAAGGTAGCTCGTTGTAGAGCAGCTCGATGTATCGCAAGAAGATTTCCAACTTGACAACTGTACCTACCAAATCTGGAGACCTGCACTCACGTCTCATCGTGCTTGCCAGCCCTGAGAGGTGTCCCTTGTCTGGCAAGGCCGTACTCTACAACAGTTACCTGCGCCCACCAGCTCAGCCTTGGCAAGTAACGACTGTGGCAGAGAATCAGAGGCGGTTACGCCAGATCTGTCAGAACACCGCTATATAAGAGCTCTGACCCCCCAGAGGGAAAGGGGGATGAAAAATGGAGGTAACCCCTTCTCTCTAGCTCTTTCATTTCTCTAATATCATCTTCACGCTCTCTACTATCAGAGTGCTAACTTAGCCATCAGAGTGGCCCCACCGGGTAAACACCCCCGGGTCCTCTGATTCAGTTCTCGCAGGTTCCTCAGCTCCCGCCGTCTACACAAAGGAGCAGATCATCTCATGCAAAGGGCGATTGGGTTACACTACACTGGGAAGCTTGCCACCAAGGCAGCGCACCCAGCAGCTCATCAAGGTAGCTCACCACCAGGGAACTCGCCACCAAGTAGCTCACCACCAGGCAGTTTGCCACCAGGGAGCTCCATCATCCTCTGAGTCACAGGCCACCTGGGAGCAGGTCAAATGACGAGGTACTTAGCCAATAATTGGTACATCACAAAAAAATTGGTACGTGACCAGAATCGATTACATCAGAAATTATAACTTTTGCTTTCCAAGATTGAGTTGCAACAGTACTGTTGAACAACAGTTGTTGAGAAATTGAGAATTGCATCGAATAGGAGGGCTGATTCATGCCATTTGGTCACTTTCCTTAAAACTGCATTTGCCCCCTACGGTATAGACTGGTGAATGCAAATTGGTCACCAAGATAAAACAGTCCACAAGCAATTGGTAGGCATGCACTCGCTTACCAAACCTCTACGAACCACTCAAAGATGATGCTTAGATATGGACAAATGACAGAGCAGAGAAAAAATTGTGTTGTATGTGTTTTGTGTCACCGGGTTGATCAACACTCTATTTATAGAGTGCTTTCAATCATCCGAACAGACAGAGATGTTCATTCACCAATAAAGAGATGTGTCTCTCCAAAACAAGCACCAATTCGAAGAGACACGGACAAAAGAGGAAGAAAATGTTTAAGAATCAAAATTAAGTTAAGTTAAAACCGGTCGTTAAGAATCAAATGGTCAAAGAGGAAAAAACAATAGGGTGTGACGTGCGCGTACATTGGCCCGGCTCAATGCATAAAGGAAGCAAGCCTGCTAATATACTCAAGTCCATTTCTTTCCCAAGCAATGTGAGGGAAGAGGTCTTCACCAACATGCAAGAGTGAAGAGAGAAAATACAAAAACAAAAAGCAAAACGAAACGAGGTAAAATTCTTGAAATTTTGAATCTCTCTCCAACAAATAAAAGAACAAGAAACATGTTATTATATGTGTTTTTGTTTTAAGACTTAAAACCAAAACATGTTCTTGAATTTTTGGTTTCAAAAATATGTTTCCATCTGATTATTTAACATCATGTTCCATGATAGAGATGGACCTACACCAGTTGTAGCAAGAATCGGGCCTACACTAATCTCCGCACACAAACAAGAATCGGGCCTACGCCAGTTGTAGCAAGAGCCAAGACAACCAGAGAAAATCCGAGGGCAATTCCGTATGTTGAAAAAGAAACAATTTAGACTCAGAACAAAAAAACAACTTTTAGATACTATGAATTGTATACGACAAAGTTTTGGGAATCAATAGTTGCAGGCGTATTCAACTTGTGAAATCAGAAACCTTTTCTAAACGCAGTTTAGCAGCCCTCCATGGCATTAATTAAGGCGTGAAACTTTTAATTTATGCTAATTTCTATAAAATAAATTCATTTTTTTCGGTATCATACGCGAATTCTTTTACTTAATACGTGTATTTTCCTTGCCGAAAGTTTTGAATTTGCTCAGAAAAATAAGCTCACACTCGGGTTACAAACCGCGGCACCCAGATATATAAATATGCTAAGACCAGCAGAAAGCTGATATGAATGAACTGGTTAACGTTTTTTATTTGTTCAAAAATGTCAACTAACAGCCAATTGAGGGGCCGCTAGTAGTAGAATGGCAACGGAGCGGAATCATATTTCCCGTTCCGCCACCAATTCTGAAATTAATTCTCATTTCCGTTCTTCATCCCGTGGGGGATAAAATTTTATCCTCCATTCCTGATTCTTGATAGAAATGGGTTCCATGCAAAAACCTGAATTCTCAAAATCTTTTAGATAATAGTATTTTTTAAAAAGATAAATTTATTTAAAATAAATAAATGATTTAAATTATAAATGATGTTTTAAATATGTTTTGATATATATATATATATATATAATATAAATAATATATGTTTAATATTTATATATATATATATATAATCAGGGTCGAGAAGGGGCGGGGACCTCAATCCCCATCACTGACCCTGACCCCTACCTCAATCATGATTCCTATTAATCCCTATCCCCAACCCGGACCCAAATCGGGGATTCCTATTAATCCCCGTCCCCGCTCCCACCCTGTCAAAACAATCCAGATCCTCAACTCCATCGGGTCGGGGAAGTCGAGTCTCCATCGAGAACGGGAAAAATTGCCGTACCTAACCGCCAGTTGCTATGTTAGTCGGTTCGTTCCAGCAGAGACTAGTGAGTCAAATCATGCTACCACCAAAATTTAGAGAGAGTTAGTTGTGGTATTGTGCTATTCAAATGGAACGGCCCTTGTGGGGGATTCAGATGTATCAACTATTTTCAGTTTCCCAGACCCCATGGGGTGGGGGATGGAAATTGCCTTGACAAGTATGAAAGTAGGGATAGGGAATGATAGTGATACCTGACCAGCGGTGGGGACCAAGATGGAGAGTGAATTATCAGCCGTGCCTTGACCCTAATTATATATAATATTATTTATGTTACATATATATAATATTATTTCTGTTTCTTATATATAATTTAAAAAATCACTACTTTAAGTAAATCTATTTTTAAAATAATTTTAATTTAAAAAATTTGGGGATTCGAATCCCTATCAAAGATTTGAATCGATTGCAGAGATTTGTTTCAAAGTTAGAATCAAGGAGTATGATTACCACCCCGTTTCCATTTCTCAGCAATATAATTGATACTGAGGGAAAAGGATTTTTGATAGGGTCGATGTCAGCCACATTTTTGTCACATGGAAAGATGATGTGGCCAATCCATATGCAGTTCTTAGGTCAACGTCAGCCCACCTGTTATATTAGTATTTTTGAGGAATAATATTGGTTACTGAAAGTTCTGATATTTCAATATTAAATATATCAGAAATTTGGTTTATTTTGGCTCTGTGGTC